CCCCCCCCCCCCCCCCGACTTTGTCTTTTACGATTCTTTCTTGTGCTGTTGCCACCTGTGTAGGATTCTCTCTTTTAGAGGGCCAGCCTCTGGCCCAGCTCTGTTAGCAGAGCCCCCCCTCATAGAGATGGGGTGTGGAGTAGCAGAAGGGTGTACTGCGCTGCCTACCTGAAAAATGAAAGGTCTGTGAGCAGAAGCCCCCTTGTTGGCATGGGTACATCCAGGGAGGGGGGAGCATGTATTGAACTGTCATCTTGCATCCTCTAGCTGACATCGCTGAGTCAGCAGAACTCTTCATCGTGGACCAGCAGCATGTGCATTTTTTTAGGTCCTCTCCCTTAGCTCAAATTACAGCATCACACTTATTTTGGATGCAAGTGATGTGTAGCTTGGCTCATTAAAACCTCGGTATAATGTCTTTGAAACAACTTTGTTTGTTTTTTTTACTAGAACCACTTGTTGCTAAACAAAGGCCCAAAATAAGTGAATAAATGGGGGTGTTTAACTTCCAGCAGGGCTGTACTGTTTTGAAAAGCTAGACAGCTGAAGTCTTGCCATGCAGTCCTTATAGCAGGACAACTGGGGACCCCTCCTCTCACCAATCTGGCACTGTTGTTTTTTTTTCATGGGCTTTGCTTATTGTTCCTTGGCTGACTGGTTTCTACTTTTCCCTCTTCTTATCCTCTTATCCAGTGTCCTGAAATTAACCCTTCAGTGGTCTTTCAGGAGCATCTGGAAAGTCCCTTCATGTCTATTTAAATGCACCATTGAGGGGTTGTGCTTATAGTCCTGAGCCTCATGTATCCATTTTGATTGCAGAGTGGGAAGGGACTTCTTAAACTGCAGCAGAGTTGGCAGTGTAGCTTGATTCTCTTGTAGGAACCTTGGATTGGGAGTATAATACCTGAAATGCCACTAAAAGCTTTTTCTTGTGGGTATAGCCCTTTTAGCAAGGTTGTGACACTTATTCATTCTAGAAAAGGAAAAGCGTACTTCTCCCATTAGCAAGAGGACTCTGTCCAGCCAAAATGGGTTTCTTGGGGTCATGTTGATTTTCCCCCCCCCCCCCAATTGGAATTTCTAGACCTAGATATCTGACCCACTCCTGGCTTAAATGAGATGACTGCATTTCCACCGATGTGAGAAGTGCACTTTAATTGGTCCATTACAGAGAGCAAAAAAATGAAATACAGGGTGTATGTCATCTTGCTACTTGTCCTCCAAGTAGCACTAGAAACTTAAATGATTCTTGCTGTAGTCATATGCCACTTGTACACAGGGCAAGCAATATGACTGCTGACAGACGTGAGCCGCCCCCCCCCAGCTTTACCAAAAGAGTTAGTTTGACCTGGCTTGCCCCAGCATTTGTATACACCATGTGCTTCAGTGGGGCCTTTTTTGGCACTTTTAATAGCTGATTGAATTGGATAAATCAGCTATTAGATAGAAGTGCCAAAAAGCCCTGCTGAAGCGCACAATCCATACAGATGTTGGGTGAGCGGGGTCAAACTGATGCGATGCCTCCTGGGCATGCGCTGTGCTTGTGGCAGGGATGCACTGAACTAAAAGTAACACACTTTTTTTCTTTTTGTTGTTGTCTTTGTTCTTTTTCACATCTGTAAGCAGCCTCCGAGGCCATCATTGTATTTAAGCTTCTGTGCTCTTGCCAGCCACATTCTAGAAACCCAGTTAATGTACTTGGTTGTGTATCTAACTAACTGCAGTCCAACTTCCTGGTTCATAAGGACAAGCTACAGTTTCTGCATCATGTTGATCCTTTTTAAGCTCTGCCAGAAAGGAAGGGACCTGACCCTTTGCTGTCCCTTGATGCTGACCAGCAGCTGCTATTAATAGTAAACTTAGCCTGTGCCATGACTCGGACTTTGTTGCTATCTTTTTCTTACCAGTTAAACCTTATGGGGCTTGAGCTCTGAGTACCCAAATTCAGGTTTGTGATCAGGCCAGGCAGAACACCTTAGAAGAGAAGTAACAGTAAGAATTTGTTTGCCTTTTTATCTTAGCACCTGCTTGCAAGCAGTAACAGATGGTACAAGAATACATTCCTGATGCAGGAAATCTTAGCTTGAAATAAAGAGATGGGTTCAGTGCTGGCTTTTAACCTCTTTCCATTCTAAAACAAGTATGTGGGTGTGTTTTAAAGGCATGCTATGCTATGCTAGATGGGGAAAGGGGTTCATTTTCCAAGCAATTCAGCTTCTGTAGTTGCTTAAGTACTTGCTTTGAATTTCTGTCGCCAGTCAAAATGGAAGCCAGGTTCCCATACACAGCTTATTTGCCAGACTTATTTTCCCAGGTCCTCAGAGTCTAAGGAGGATTAAAATAGCTTCTGCTAATGCAGGCTGTTAGGGTTGTTGAACTTGAAAAATGTATCCATCTTATTTCTTGTGGCTTGTTCTTCCCATGAGAGAGAGGTAGTTTGGTGGTGTCAAGCCATGTTGACTTATCTGATGCGCTGCGTTGCATGGCAAACACTTAAGTATCCAAAACTTTCTCAAGTTGTCCCATAGGCAAAATCTATGGTAATCTGCTTTGAAGAGCCAGTATTGAATTAATGTCTAAGGGTGGTTACAAATGCTCTTAGCTATTGCAACACTCCAACCCCACTAAAATGCTACGTTGATCTAGAAAGTGTATGAGGCAAGGATTTTATTTTATTTATGTATTTTAAATTGCTGGTATAAACAGAAGAAAATTTCCACTTTTTCAATAGTATGCAGTTGAATTTAAATCTGTTTTGGAGAGAAAAGCAACTTTTTTGGACTTGCTAGAACAGCCACTATTTTGTTTTATGGATGTCTATTGGGGCATTAGAATTGAATTTCTTATACACAAAACCCCCAGCTATTAAAGTGTACTTGCACTACTCCCGACATGCTCAAGAGATCAGAGCAGGGGCACAATGGAGTTTAGCAACAATCACATTTTGTCTGTCTTTTTTACTTTGGGGCAACTAACTGGACCTTTCTGTGTCCATCATAACTCTTTTTCCTTCTTTCAACTCCAGGAACTTTCAAGCTTACAATAGAATTCACAGAAGAATATCCGAATAAGCCACCTACTGTTAGATTTGTCTCTAAAATGTTTCATCCAAATGGTAAGTACCCATATAAGATGCAAGTGTAGTCTGGCTTATGACCTACGCTGTTCTTTGTGGAAAGGGAATATTGCTAGTATGTGCTTTATGTAAAGGAGCTAGCTTTCATTCTCTGTGGTCAGCAGGCAGTTGGAGGTGTTAGCAGCACTAAAACTCTGGGAGGGAAGGAAGGATTTCCCTTGTTCACAACTTGAAGTGGAACAATGCTGCCTGATCCAAAGTGATTCCTGTTCTACTTGGCTATGACACTTCTGGTAGAAGTTATAATCTTTTTGCCTGGCTAGAGGATTCTTCTGATCTGAGGTTGGAAATCTTCACAGAGAGCTTGGGCAGGGAGAGGCATTGCTTTCAAAACAGGAGTCAATGGAATAACAGCATTAATTAGAAGCCAGTGAACCATTTTAAGTCGCTTGATGGAATAGATGTCCATAGAAGAGCCAAAAAGGAATGCTCTGAATTGTACCCATGCTGTTTTTTGTTTTTTTTACTGTTGTACCTGTGAATTGTTACTTTATAGGCAGCAAAGTTTAGTGCTACTTTATTGATTTCTATGAAATGCTCATCTGTCAAACATGCTCCAGTACCAGGGTGCTGGATAATATCAACTCTTCTTATAATAACTCTTGCAGTTCAGGGAGGGAGGAGGTGTGTGTATATATGTGTAATAGCCTTGTAGGTACATGCATGCACCATCTTTATGAATGCAAAGAACAGTCCTGATTTTTAAATAGCAATCCTTTTGTTGGTTCAGGTGTGTGCATGTGGAAGTAAATGTCAGATTGTATCTCAGTTGTCCTCCTTTTCAATTAACTTGTTGGGTACACAAATGAAACAACTACCATAGTTTTCCAGGTTAATGCATGACCATGCTGTTTACATGCAGTCCTAGCTATAGGAGGTTCTTCCCCCAACCTGTCCCAAATTAGTTGGGGAATGATCACTTGAAATGCTAAGTGGCAGTCAAACAAGCCATCAGCTTTGTCTCCCTTAATTCTTTGCTACTCTTCCTTGTTTAGTTACTAGTTGACACCTGGATGATTTTTGCCTTGAAATACTTCCTGCTATGTAATCTGTGCCTGAATAAGAGGGTGGATGGTAGTTTTTTACATCTAAATGTGAAGTCTCACAGAAACAAAAAGCTTGTTGAGGCATAAGTTGGGAAACTTACTAAAGGCAGACCCTTTAGGCAACTGTTGGGAGCAAATCTGGCTTTTGGGAGACTGACTTCTAGCTTGTTCTGAAACCTTGAGTACCATTAATTTGCCCAACTACCAACATCTGATGTGCTGAAGTTATGCATGAGAGTAGGAAATGCCAAGTAGAAACTCATCTGGGCTTTTAAAAAACTACCCTTTGCTAAACATCATTTTCAGGGTGTGTCTAAACTTCTATTTTCTCCCTCCCCGCTCCTCTGTCCCTTTCCAGTGTATGCAGATGGTAGTATATGTTTGGATATTCTTCAGAATCGTTGGAGTCCAACCTATGATGTCTCTTCTATCTTAACATCCATACAGGTAAAAAAAAAAAAAAAAAAAAAAAAAAAAAGACATTCCTAGCACTTGCTGTAATCCTGGCTTTTGGGGGAAAGAAGAAAAATTCTTTACACGCACACGCCAGAGACTAGTTCTGAGCAAAGTAGACGGTCAAAATTTGTAGATGGTGGTCATGTCTACACATGCATTTATTGCACAGTAAGTTACTGCACAATAAGCGTTTTTTATGCTGACATCTACACATGCAGGTGTTACAGCACAGCAACACTGTATGTGGACTGTTTTGGGACTAAAGTTGGTTCCAAGTCAATCCACACGCACAGGGTTACACTGCTCAGTAAGGTGTCTACACGTGCCTTACTGCACAGTAACTACTTGGTGTAAATTTGCTACCTGCATCATGCAGATAGCAAACTTATGCCCAAGTTAGTGCAAGTCACCATAGTTACTGTGCAGTACAGGCATGCATGTGTAGATGTACCTGTACTGTGCAGTAACTTTCAGCATACAGTGTTCTATCCGTGTTGCAGATTTGATCAGGATATTCAGACTGCTTTAATTTCAGAGAATTTGTTTTGGAAAAGCAGGAGATAAAGTGAGGATACTTCATACAGTGAGTTTTATATTGGGTCTTCCTAGTCCTTGTTTTGAAGTGAAGGTGGTTGTCTGGTTATTTCATTTATTAATTTTCTCTAGAGCGGTGGTTTTCAGCTGGGGTACTGTGGTGCTGCTTCAGCAGTGGGTAGATTAATGCAGCCCTCCATGCAGGCAGTTTTGAGTTCTTTGATATCCTTAGCTGGCAGGTAGAGCTGGCTTGTGTTGTAGCCTGCCCTCCCTACTCTACCCCAACTTGCTCCTCACACCCTGCTTCCAGGAGACACCATGCAGTCAGACCAGAAACAGCAGAAGTATGAGCCAGCTCTCCTGCCTGCTTTAGGGTTTGCAGAGAACCCTAATGAGGCAGGAGAATGAGCATGTGCTGCAGCCTGTCTGGCTGTGCACCAGATGTGGGCCAGGCTTGCTTGCTTTACCTGGCTACAGTGACAGCAACACCCTCACTTGAAAGCCACCGAGGTTGAGTTGAGCACAACAGTGGATCTTAACCAGGGATGCCAGCACACTCAAGAAAGAGGTGGAAGGGTTGTCATGACTGAAAAGGTTGAGAATCACTGCTCTGGGCTAAGTTCTTGTTGTCCCATCCCATCCCTCCTGACCCCCCTGGAATTTAAGAGTGGTATTAGTTTGGTGGCAGTAACTGCACAGTGGCTTTTTGTTTTGTTTTTAAACCTGAGACCTGGGGAATTGATGATTGCTGCAATACTTGATGATGTGCAGGTATGAGCTGAAGGACCCTGCCACAACTACTTTAAAGTAGTTGCTGCAAAAGAAGTCTGCAAATCTTCTAATGAGAAATTGAAACCAATTTTTCTTTGAACAGTCTCTATTGGATGAGCCGAATCCCAACAGTCCAGCAAACAGCCAGGCAGCTCAACTATACCAAGAGAATAAGCGGGAATATGAAAAACGGGTTTCTGCAATAGTAGAACAGAGTTGGCGTGATTGTTGACCCAGGATGATGCAAATGAACACTCTGAGGAAAAAAGTATATGAAGTGTCTGAGTCCTCTTCCTCCTCCCAAGCATCACTGCATTTACTTTGAACGCAAAATAGCTGTTGTGCTGTTGCCACCCTCCCCTGCTGAAGCTTCCTTGGACATCAGAAAGCACCCACTTTGAAGTCAAATGTACTGTACTTGGGTTACTTGCAAAAGAATTACTGATGCTGAATTCATTTTCTGTGGTTCCTCTCCAGTTTTAGGGCAGTATTGTGCATTTCTGTAGTGTACACTAAGCTTTTAACTGTAATTGTGTTTCTACACAGTGATGCTTATGTGTAGCTTGATAAAAGGGATGTTTATATACATACACTTTTTTTTTTAACTGGTATTACTAAAGTGCTGATCTGTCCAGGCTGGTCACTTTACCTCTACTGTTGGTTTAGACCTCACTGCATTTGTACATGCTGCATGAAGAATGATCTTCATGTCCTAGTCTGACTGGTCTATCAGCTGTTAAACTGGGAAGGAAATCGTAAGAAAGTTCAAAAGTGGATTCCATTTCAACTAATCGGATAATGAAACTGTGGGATGCTGGCAACTTCTGCACATAATGTGCAAGATAACATGAATCACTACAGTTTTGGTACTTTATTATGTTGGGTGATAGGCAGAATACCCCCCCCCCTCTCTTTTTTTTTGGCTTTTATTTAAATAGGGTTTTAAAGGACATAACGAAAGGGAATATTGCTGAAGTAGGTGACTTCTGTGTCCTTTCAGTAAGGCATTGAATGGACGTGATGATGTTGAGCTGTGGTACTTAAGTTTAAAGGTCTCATGGATGAGTTTGCTAGTGAATGAAATATTTTTAAGGGATAAGAAAGGAGACATTAAAAATACTGAAGCTGGGATTACTCCTGGTAGCAATATTTCCTGTTTCAGCCTCCTCCCAGATAGAACTCTGCCTCTTGGAAAGCTTTGTGTACAGAAGCATGTGGTGGGTGTTCAAGTGTCTAGGAGGTTCCTGCTCTTCATAGACTCCTGTGTGGTGTGTGTGTGAGAGAGACTGCTCCATGCTTCAGTTAATTTCCCCTCAATTTTATGAAAGGCTTTTGGTTCTTTTTCCAGTTTTGAAAAAAAAAACAAACATTTGTAAGTCTCAACTCACATTTTTGTAAGGCTCAGTTTGTACCTTTCTGGATACAGTACATTATGCAGCAGTGTGGGATGAAGCCTACAAGCGTGTTGTCTGCTGTTCCAGTGTCTCGTGTGCACATTGGTCTGTTAGTTGAGAAGTATACCTTTGCACAAGTAACCCATGTAAGAAAACTGTACATTTTTCAAAACTTGTAAATAAAAGTAACCTTAAATGCTTATTGTATAATAGGCAAGAGGTGTACACCTGTACTTATTTTTGTTCCAGGTAATAGGAGGGGGTTATTTTCCAGGAGGCAGATGCCACTTTGTTATTAAGAACAAGCTACCATGGTGCTCAGGTATGCCAGCTCCTCTTAGGGCAGAGGTGGAAGCCCTCTCCATTGTGCTAGCCTTTTAACCCAAATCAGTGCAGTGGTTGGAAGGCTCTAATTTATCCTTTTAACATA